GCTATGAGGGGCAGAAGCCGCTCTTTAAGAATCTGGATTTTGGCATCGACATGGACTCGAGGAGTGAGTTGGCGGGGGAGGTTCAGGCCGCAGAGCGGGAGCCCCGGGGACCTCAGCCCTCTGACCGCCTGTCTCCCCCACCTGCCCGGCAGTCTGCATCGTGGGGCCTAACGGCGTGGGGAAGAGCACCCTGCTGCTGCTGCTGACCGGCAAGCTGATGCCCGTGAGTCCCGCGGCGGGAGTGTGGCCGCTCCCCGGAGGCTGGACTCGGGGAGCCCCCTCCACCACGTGAGGGGTGGTTCATTTCCTTAAGGGGTGCGGCAGAGGCGAGCAGTTCAGATCAGCCAGAGAAGAGCCAGGACGGTTGGGGCCAGTGCAGGGGCTCCCTACACCCCACCACATGTGTTTTGGTCACACAAGAAATGCATGTCCATTCCAGAAGTGTTAGAAGTTACGTAAGCCAGGGAAAAATGTGGAGGTAACCGCTGTTAACTTTGGTGGCTTGCTTTCTCCTTTTTCCTTTACAAGTTTATATATTTATTTTAAACAAAAGTTGCTACTATGTGAATTGTTTTTTAGCCAGCTTTTTCCAGATGATACACATCATTTTTCCACATTGGTAATTGTGTGGGTGAATTCATTTTTTATGGATCTATATAATTTCTTTGATATCAGTCATTTAGAGTATTTCTGATTTTCCACTAAAGGACAATAGTGCAGCAAATAGTCTTACTGTATCTGTTCATGAACTTAGTTTTTCCTTATAATAAATTCCTTAGAATTGCTTTGGGGACTTTGGTGGTGTATGTGGTGCTTAGGCAGGTTGTAGCTGTCTACACCCTCCAGAAAAGTGTTGAGAGGGCCTGCAGAGAGCAGCTGCTCAGAAAGATGTTCCTGCATCCTCACACACAGTGTCCCTCCCTCCCCATCCGGGGTGGAACCCTGAAAATGTGCAGTTCCTGAGTCTCACAGGAAGGGTGGGAGGGGGTGGTTCTTTGGTGGTGGTCAGTCTCTCCTGGTTCTCAATCTCTGCCTTTTGTTTCCCCTTCTTTGTTCTCTTGCTTCTGATTTCCTGGGCGTGTCTTTGTCGCATTAGGAAGAACACCCATGTCCCCTTTTTCACCTGGCTTGTTCCCAGCCCAATCCTGGGATTTGTCTCCCGTTCAGAAAAGCTGGGGCCAGAGCTGCAGCACCCTTCCCTTCTCCTTATCTTCCCACTTGCTTTTTCCTTGCAGACTCGTGGGGAAATGAGAAAGAACCACCGCCTGGTGAGTTGGCTTTGGGAATTAGGGAGTCAGAGGCTGACAGAGGAAGTGTGACTTTGACTGACCACCCCCTTCTTGTCTCGGGCAGAAAATCGGCTTCTTCAACCAGCAGTATGCGGAGCAGCTGCGCATGGAGGAGACGCCCACGGAGTACCTGCAGCGGGGCTTCAACCTGCCCTACCAGGATGCCCGCAAGTGCCTGGGCCGCTTTGGCCTTGAGAGTCACGCCCACACCATCCAGATCTGCAAACTCTCTGGTACCAGGGGTCCCTCCTTAATGTTCATATCTGTAGGCTGCACTCAGAGGCAGGAGGGAAGAGGAGCCAGGACTCGGGGGACCTCAGCGCTCACACAGACACACATTCGGGGTTTACCTGCAGAGGTGTCAAATGGTAAAAGGGGCGACGGGTCTCCTTTTCCTTTGCTGCAGGCGGGCAGAAGGCCCGGGTTGTGTTTGCGGAGCTGGCCTGTCGGGAGCCCGATGTCCTCATCTTGGTGAGTGAGCAGAACTGTGGGGCGGGGTGAGGGTGTCAGACAGGAGAGGGAGGAGTCGGAACGCTCAGTCATGGGATGCCGCCTCCTCGTAGGACGAGCCCACCAATAACCTGGACATCGAGTCTATCGACGCCCTGGGGGAGGCCATCAATGAGTACAAGGGTGGTAAGTCAGCACAGGGCGCGCCCTCCTCCTCCTCCCCTTGGGGACCAGCTGTGGTGTCCTTTGGTCAGGACTCCCTCGCCTCAGCTTCTCATTCCCCTCTTCCTCCTTTCTTCCTGCCCTCCTTCCTCACCCTCGTTCTTCAAAGCTGTGATCGTCGTCAGCCATGATGCACGACTCATCACCGAAACCAACTGCCAGCTGTGGGTGGTGGAGGAGCAGAGTGTCAGCCAGATCGACGGTGACTTCGAAGATTACAAGCGGGAGGTGTTGGAGGCCCTGGGTGAAGTCATGGTCAGCCGACCCCGGGAGTGAGCTCCCCGTCTTGGAAGTCCCCTCGCCTCCCTGGCTCTCCTCGGAAGCCTGCCTCTGACCCAGCGGCCACTCGGGCACATGAAGAAGGAGCGTGATCTTGATGTGACCAGGATACCACTTTGACTGCTTCTTTTTCTCTGAAAGACTTGTCTGTTCTTCTCTTCAGATAACTGAGCTGGCCTTGGCCTTGAACTCCTTCTGTACAGACAGAGGTGACCTTCGTTACCATGGGGTTCCATCCAGCCAGGCTTACGTGGCCAGTTGTCTAAGACTCTGTCCTCACTCAGAAGCCTGTCTCTGGTCCACCTCAAAGCTTCAGGCCCCACTGCCACCCCGGTCTGTGAGTGGTGCTGCTCTTTTCTGGTGGATTCAATGCTGACTTAACTGATAAACTGCTGTTGCCGCTCAGAGCCAGAGGGAAGTTCTGAGGCCTGTGCTGTGACCCAGGATTTGGTGCCTGCAGCCTCTAGTCTGGCTGGGGACTTGGGGGCAGGAAAGGAATGCTGCTGAACTCAAATCTCCCTTTACAAGAGGGAGAAATAAAGGAAAGGAGTTGCCGCCACCCTGTCACTGTTTGGAGATTCATGGGACCTGACACTGTTCTTAGTCTGGATTTGCTTTATTCAGTTTTCTGGCAGCATTTAGTACCCCCTCTCCCCACCAGGACGGGAGGCTGTGACCCGCAGTCTCCCGCCTTGGACACTTGGGTTTCTCACTGTCCGAATTCTGCCCTGTGGTCAGGGAGCAGAGTGCTGATCCCCCTAGAAGTTACTATATCAGCCAACATGTACAGCCCCGTGGGGTGTGAAGAAGGGAAAAGACAAGGTCTGCCTTCATGAGTAGTCTAGCTAGAGAAGACTTGGAAGATGAGATGAGTGTATAATGTGATGTGACTAAGGGCCGAATGTGTGGTGCTCTCGGTGTTAAGTGGCCACGCATTCACAGAAGGAAAGATGATCCAGAACTTGGTTATTTGGTGGGATCGCTTGAGGGTGGACCCTGAAAAATAATGAGGATTTGAATAATGAGGAAGAGGGAGCCATTTTTGGAACCTAGGGAGAGAACAGATCTAAGCCTTGGAAGGAAGAGAAGACTGGGAGTTGAGAGAGCATGGCTGGTGTGGCTGCTTATTAGAGCAGGGTCGGAGGGCAGGGGTTGGGAAGTCACACCCCAGTGGCAAGTGGTTGGTGGTGATATTTGGGTAGTGATGGGTGAGGTGGACCAGAAAAACTTGTAGGATGGGCACCCTAATTTGTGCTGATGAGGTAGTAAATCCTGAATTAGGACAAGGGAGAGGGATGGAAAGGAGAGGACAAGTGGGAAGGGCCAGGTGTGGGAGCTGGAGAGAGAATAATCAGATGCTTCCAATTCTAGGGAGACTATCAGGAACCATTCAAGACTTACTGAGTTGGGACATCAAATTTGGAGAAATTATTTTCTGGCCAGATAACACCAGATGTCGAGTACGAGGTTTATATCGAAAGTGAAGGTTTGATGTGGAGATAGTTGTAGAGGCACTGTTGGGTATATTAGAAATAAAGGGATGCCCCTCTTACAGAATTTGAGGGAAAAAATCAGGGTCTTGTGCCAAGTAAGAATTAATCTCCTCCATTCCATGAAATAGGTCTGTCATTGAGTAGTGGGAGCGGGCTTGAAGCCCACTGTTAATGGTGTGGCCTCGGACTCAGCCTCTTGGTACCTGTTTCCTCATCTGTAACAGGAAGGTGATAAAAAGTACCTACCTCATGAGGTTATTAAGGGATTAGACATGTAATTATTTGTGAAGTGCTTCTTTTTTTTTTAAACTTTTGTTGCCATGTATTTCATGTTACACTTTACACTTGGCACTGAAAATTCTCAGTTCACTAGTCTAGATGAGATGATATATAAAATATATAGGAATGTTATAAAATGAATACCAGAATTTCACATTTCAAGTTTTTGATCGCTAGCTTCACTAGATACTTCAGGTGCTCCAAAATAACTTCTCTCCATGTACACAAATTTTATTTCTTCTCTCACTGTGTATAGTTATAGACCGAGATAGGGGCAAAAGGATGCCGCTTCTCCAAAAAGAGCAGCATGGAAATGGGATGCAAAAGGAAAAAACAACACATTTACATGGTTATTGAAAAATGGGGTTTCACTAACAAATATTTTTATTCATGAACAACCTTTATCATCCATGAATCATGCAGTAATGTCATACATAATGAGCAGCATAGAAATGTTTTTAGAAGTGAGTGAGTCTTGTTCACACCTTCCTAATGAGGAAACAGTCTCAGAGACGCTAACCTGGTCGTGGTCTCCCTGCCTGAGGGGGTGTTCCCGGGGCGGTGGCCCTTGTTTTCTGACTCTAGAGCCCTGGGCATTCTCCCTCCTCTGTAGAAAGTGGGCAAGAAGGATGTTTGAGGGCAGTGGTTCCCAAAGTGCTGGACCTGCAGCAGCAGCAGCATCGCCTGGAGTTTGTTACAAGAGCAAAGACAGGAACTGAGGGGTGCCTCTGGAGCACACCAAAGGGAACGGGGTCCTCGGAGAGAAACGGTGGAGGGATGGCTCCTCAAAGGAAGTAACAGTGAAAGCCGAGGCGCGGAGGTGAAGAAGGAACCAACTAGATGAGCGGGAAAGAAGAGCCTTGGTGGAAGGGACCAGATGTGCAAAGGCTCAGAAGCTGGAAGGAGCTTGACTAGGACAAGGAACATGGCCTGAGCTTAGAGCTTAAGCAGGGGCTGGGACACATGGCCTTATAAACCTTGGTAGGGACTTGGGATGCTGTTCTAGGAGCAATAGGAGGCCATCGGTGTTTACCCAGGAGTGTGAATTGACCTGGTTTTTTTTTTTTTTTAACTTTTTTTTAATGAGTTATAGTCATTTTACAATGTTGTGTCAAACTCCAGCGTAGAGCAGTTTCTCAGTTATACAGGAACATACATATATTCATTGTCACATTTTTTTTCACTGAGCTACCACAAGATCTTGTATATATTTCCCTGTGCTATACAGTATAATCTTGTTTATCTATTCTACATATGCCTATCAGTATCTACAAATTTTGAACTCCCAGTCTATCCCTCCCACCCCTCTCCCCTGACCTGGTTTTCATTTTGGCAAAATTGCTTTGGCTGCTGCACAAAGAATGGTGGGTATGGGGAGACAGAGGGGATGGCAGGAGAGGAGTTAGATACTCCCTCGGGAAAGAAGAGATACCCTCCTGCCTCTAAGAAAGGGAGAGATAATGTAGACTCTGCTCTTTTCAGGTGAAGAGAAGGGGAAATTGTGCTCACATTGGATGGGGTTCATTTTCTCAGGAGGTTTGGTGCCAGAGAATCAAGAAGAGTTAGGAAGTTTGCCAAGCACCAGTGAGTATATTGAGTCAGTGCTAATAATTTGTAGTGGGCCAAGATGGTAGGATTTCATGATTTTTTAGTGTTAGGTTACTGTCTGGGAGCAGAAGTGGGAGAAATAGAATAATGGTGATTCAGAACTGGAGATGGAACTGGTGAGCTTGGGGAGGGGTTGACAGAATGTCGAGAGTTGGAAGGGTATTTGGGGAGCAGGGAGTGGAAATGGGATAAGAAAGGAAGAACAGACCAGCTGAAATGGAGGTTCCTGCAGGATTTGGTGAAGAAACAGAATGGGTTAGTGGGTTGGTGAAATGGATGAGATGCTCAACCTGTCTCTCTCCCTGCCAAAAAGAAAAGAAAAAAAAATCGTAAGTAACAGTAACTTTGGATTTTCATAGAGAATTTGAAAGAAAAATGGCTGAACATGTGTTAAAGCAGAAAAAAAGTAAGCTCTCTCGACAGGTTCTTGTGGCCTGTTGTAGGAGATGGAGAGATGGTGAGAAGCAGGCAACGGATGGAACCAGAAGGAAAGAAACGCAAGTTAAAGAATTTTTCATTTTTTCCCAATAGAGCCGGCTACTTCATTGCTACTTCACTTCTTAGCTTGGCCCTTAGATTATGTCCTCTTCTTGGGTTCTCTTCGAGTGCAAAGAGCAGAGTAGGCTAAGTGACTGAACACCCTCTTTTCTGAGAAGGGGCAAAGTTGGAGGATAAAATTAACCCTGACGATTTTACTTCTTGTGGGGCTTGTGAAATTTAGGAAGTTGCTGCCCTCTTGTGGCCAATCCTGGAAACAGCCAAGAAACGCGTTCTAGAGCAGTGTTTCCCAGATCACCACCACCTGGGAACCTGATAGAACTGCAAAATCTCAGAATTCATCCCAGGCCTACTGAATCAGGAAATTTGCTGAATCCCACCCCCGGTCTGCCCTTTAACAAACCCTTCAGATGATTCTGATGAACGCTATTCTCAGCCCCCGCCCCAACATCCCCATTCTCCCTTTCCCTCCAAAATGTAATTTCCAATTACAAGAATAGCAGAACTTCCTATTTGTTCATCCTCTCCAACCATGTTCTGGCCTCCAAAACCTGTCTTCCCCAGGAAACCGCCTCCATCAATAAGCTCTCAGTACCTGTCCTTAAGATCTAAAAATCATCTTGAGCCTCCATCTCCGAGCAGCAGGCCCATCGCTCTACTCTGCAGAGCCACTTTTTCAGGGAACAGCAGTCTACACTCTCCCCTTTCTTGTTTCTCCACTGGAGCTGCTTTTAAAAGGAACCACCTTTTTTTCCTTCCTTCCTTCCTTGCTTCCCTGCCTCCCTCCCCAGAAACTGCTCTTGGGTTTCTCCTTCACCCACTCCCTGTGCTCCTCCCTTCTACCCACCCTCACTTAAATTCCTCCCCTAAGCTGCTCTGCAAGGCCAGTAGGGTCGGCTAGAATGGATGTGCCTGCACCTCCAGCAAACTCTGAGCTCTGCGACCCCCAACATCCCACCACCCGGGGTCCACCCTGCACCCTATGGTATCTTATATTGGAGTACTCCTCCGGTATTCCACTTCATACCAGCAAAGGATTGGAAACCACATTCCTAAAGGTTTGTATTAATGGATCTTCAAAGACAGCTGATAATGGCTGGATTTTTAACAAAAAGTCCAAACACACCAAGGATTAAATAAGCTGCTTCTCTTTCCACTGTTTATTATTAATGTACAAAATATACAAAACCAAAAGAAAAAGAAAATACTCATCCTCAAATCCATTGTGGCTCTAACCCAAGACCCTGCACAAAACCCAACCAATCCACTGTTTTCATAGAAAACAACTGATGCCGAGACAGGTGAAGGAGAGGGCTGGGAGAGGGGAAGTCATTTTAGCGAATCCCCAGGAGGATTCAGAGGTGGCTGACAGGGCGAGGGAGCTGGAGGCCTCACACTGACGGGTTCCAGGTGGGGGCCAGGAGCGCACTAGCTCCCGGAGGCAGTGCATGTAGTGTGACTGTCAGGCCCAGCATGCCGGGCTTCAGTTGATGAAAAGCTGGTCTCACTGAAGTGTTTTACAAAGTTTCCATAATGAGCTGTAGGCTAGGGTGGACGACCACCAATGGCCTCACCTACGCCTGCTAAAACTTCCACTGGACGAGGCGTGAATTTGCCGTCATTGAACCTAGCAGACCCACGACGGGTGTTCACAGATTGCAGTCTGTCTTGAGGAAAAATTCAGAATGT